CCGCTTTTTAAAGAATGGAAGCTCATGATTTGTTTTCTTATTTTACAGCTCAAATATCCTGTTCAACAATACTTGTGCAGCTGTTTAGGACGCTTCCGATCAAGAATGTGCACCTATCCAACGAAGGCACGCCAATATGATAGAAGACTCCAACAGAAGTCCCAAGCAGCACTTCATAATCACAATAATTCAGGGAAGAATGGGAAAATGACATATTGCCTTCTATCTATTGAGTTGAATAAATTTGAAGCACCAGAAATATGTGCCTTGTGAGTTATCTGGTTCGGGGAGGGGGTGCATGCAAAAATCCAGAAAAAAGTGGCCGGGCATCAAATTGTAGCCAATACAAAAAAACTAAAATATATGTGCCACACACTACAATGGCCAACATGCTTGGCTCTAATGCCAAGAACATGCTTGGCTATTGCATGGTATTCCAAGACAGTGCTAGTCATGAAAAGTGGTATTTCCATTGATTTGCCTTCCTTTGATTCCATTGCTTCGCCAATGGTAGGCTTGTCACACTTGTCAAGCACACACCTCCCTTGGCCTCCAATAACTTTCCGAGCATGGACAGCTTGGCCACTGATGATTTACTATGTTTGGTCCAAGCAAATTTTGCTTCTAGGGCAGTTTGCTGCAAGCACCTCCTGCTCATAATGCCACCAATATATTTACGGAACTCCAACTCCGCGTAATCGCTTTCCCACATTAAGAGTAGAGGTAGTAAACAATATAGTAGAATTTACTGTTTTCCTACTACACATAAATGTAACATGCATGCTTGTAAACAGCTGTATATAGACGTTATCAATATATGTGGGTTTCTTGGCTCCGCCCAACAGTTCCAGCTCAAGGCTCTGATTATCACGTGAGAACTAGCGCAGCCAGTGCAAAAGCTGCCTTTGAGCACAGCACGTCGGAACGACTCCCGCATGTTGATTTGATTGATATGCGGTGTTTAACGTCCCAAAGCCACCATATGATTATGAGAGATGCCGTAGTGGAGGACTCCGGAAATTTCGACCACCTGGGGTTCTTTACCCAAATCTGAGCACATGGGCCTACAGCAATTTCACCTCCAACAAAAATGCAGCCGCCGCAGCTGGGATTCGATCCCGCGACCTACGGGTCATCAACCACGGCGGGCCTCCCGCATGTTTACAAGTGGCTCGTGGCTATCTTTGAAAACCTCATCAAAACGGGACGGAGCCTAACTACGGAAATGCTGCTCATTTGCAAAATGCCATCCCCATTGCGACAGTTTACGTCACGCGAGTAAATTTGAACTAATGCAAGGACAGACCCAGTTCAGCAAGAGGCTCTACGGTACGATATGCATATGCGCGGTGTAAAAATACGTATCCACGAATCGTTACGGCCAATCATCATATATTGTAAAACTTTCATGCAAGTGACAAAGGCACGTGATATCCAGGCGACACTTTGTGAGTCAATGCAGTTACGTACCAGTCAGGTGTGCGGCTCAATGCGTGCGCTCAAGCCGAGGCAAATGTGTACACAACCGTAAACAGACTCGGCAAGTTTCCCGAGTGTTGCTTCTTCTGTGAATTCTCACAGACGTGAAAATCTCGTGCGGTGCACCGCAGTTAGAACTGCCCTGCCCGATAGGGGAGACCCGCTCAAGTTTGCCCGCCGACGCCAGCGCTTGCCTTTCCCCTGCCTGAAAAAGCGCACAATAGTAGCGTGTTGCGACCCTTCCGCTCCCTTTAGCTTCCACGCATTTGCGAAGCGCGCGCTGCACGTGAAACGTCCCTCGTTCCGCGATGTCACCCCAACAGAAAGGACGGAACTATTTCTGCGTCGTGAACTGTCACAGTAACCATGCAAACACGAAGGAGTCGACGCCACCAGTGAAATTCTAGCGATTCCCAAACCGATGGTACAAAACAAGCAGACGACAGGAATGGATTAAAGCAGTGCGCCGAAAAAAAAGTAAGAAAACATTTTTTAATTAAAATTAGCACGCGCCCAATGCAATCATCATAACGGGTGTCAATTCCTGCGTCACCGTTCCTCTTATCTATCAAGTTACTGGGAGATGCGCGTCCCCATTTTAAAGGTATAAATTACCATAACACTTTCAACTTCCGTCTTTAGAGCAATGTTAAAAAATTGCGAAGAAATGTGTTTATGCTGCTACTATTATTGGATATTGTAGGGGACGTAGTAGTTGAACTTGTGTACACATGTGGTATTGGTGATGTGTGGTTATATATTATTTTATATCTACGCAGCGCCGATGGAAATGTGTGGTTTCCAAAAGCTTGGACAATGATTTGTAGCAGACATTCTGTAAGAAACTGCAAAAATGACTCAAGTCTGCACCCGTCTTATGTGCCGACAGTGTTTCCAGTGGCTTACAATAAACGGGCACCTCACGCAGAAACGGCGCGGAGGTATGATAGGCAGTGAACCGCATAACAATCTGTGCATTTTAAAGCATTTTCTGAGGACTGTTGATTTCTGGTTTCAAGCTCAGCAAGAATTCGTTCTGCGTATGTGCAATTATCCAGTAAAGCTAAAATAGAACGGTTTTAAACAAACTTGACACTTTCACACCACCACATTTTAGAGGTAAGATAGGAACACGGTTAGTAACAAGATCAGTAACAAGTTTTAATACGTAGCTATCTACGTGAAGTTCTCGTATAAAATGTTTCTGTGCACAAAAATGGACACAATTACTAGTTTTTTAATGGGGCATTTTGCCATCGTACATGTTTTCATAGAGTTTGATTTCATATGCAGTACTTGTTTTATTTTGTGAATGTAAGGCGTTACTAACAGGATCACGAAAAACCCTTAAACGTATTCTCATTTTCAGACTTCGTGTACATTTTATACTTGATGTTAAAAAAATTATTATCTGGCGCACTACAGATATGCTCGATGTTGATCACTGTACAATATATGAATAAAAAAAAAACTCCAACGTATAAACGTTGTTGTGAACGGCACGATCTAATCTCTGCCACAAACTTATTTTGCTTAGGTGGAAGCGTCATTCTATGAGGGCAGCCAGATCAGCACAAAATTCCGTGGAGCAGGCTGTGCCACAAGGTATTGCTCAAGACGACCCAACAATGTAAGATGAAGAGAACTCTGTTTTTCTCGATGCCTATGACACGCTTTCAAGTGATTTAGCATCACTAGAGACGCCAGTGATGCAATTAAATTTGCCGCTGTAGATGCGAAGCTTCCGTTTGAGTGGACACGACTACGACAACTACGGAAAAAAAATGCATTAGTCGTTGTTGCACGTCCATTTGCAGACACAGTGAGCTAGTTGTTACATAGTGTGCAGGGGTAGCCCGAACAGTACGGTGCATTTAGTGACCAAGATAAATTGCTTTTATAGCAATGTGCTCTTGCCCTGTAGATTAGACACACACAAAACAGTTTCTCTGAAAGCTGGGCGCTCATCATGATGGTACGAACGCTGTTCGTGAACTCAAAGTACCCGCGATGAGAACGGTGATAATGCAAGGAAGGACACACGAGATAGATTTAAATTTTCTTTGTGGGTCTGAAAGAAGCCCCAAATAGACGATTTATGTTTGAAGTGTTCTGTATATACCCCACGATAACTTGGGTGGGTGCTAGTAAATTAAGGTATCCCAACTAATAGCAGTGACAGCGCAAGAACCGCTTAACCTAAAGCACGAGAAGCGGCCTGACCCATGCATCCAGTAACAAACCTAGTGCATAGTACGCACAGCAAACCAAATAAAACAGGTATATAATTATGAACGTACAGAAAGTTGGATTCACCTCCAACTCCACGTCGTAAACAGCGTCGCCTTTCACTTGCGAAACGCATTTCGCTCTGACGAGGACGGCGTCGTCTGCTACAACTTCCTTCGCATCGGCTACATGGCTGAGCAGACGCTGCCCTTTAACCAAATTGCTGCCACGAAAAAAAATCCTCAATTGCGGCGATCCTATTAAACACGGAGATCATAACTACGCGCGACGCGAAACTCTCAAAAACACGTGCAGAACGCGTGCAGCGTGCGAGCAAAGCAACGCATTTTCAAGGCAGGTTGCGGGGGATAGCGGAAAGGTCAACACTCGACAAACCAGTTTTCTCTCCGCATTGACTGACAGCGCCAGGCTCTGCAGCGCCTCCCTCGGCCTGGGTCTCCCCTATACACTTATACCAGGTATGTCATCACAGCCGAATGTAATCAGGAAAAGCATTGGCTAAGTCAAGTCATTCTTTCGCTTGCCCACGGAGAAACCGATCACCTATAGTGCCACCTTCAGTTCACGCGAGTCTAACGAAATCCTTCTGACGAGTCTATGACTTCTGCAGTTATCTCGACAATACCAACCGTGAAAAATTCTTCGCATATGGCAATGCTATTCACAACGCTAACGCGCTTTGAGGTAAACGCGCTCTGAGCCCAGGTGAAAATTTCCTGCCGGTTGGCTATTGGTTCCAGCAGTTCTGGTTTATTAGCACATTTCCAGTAGGTAATGGAACCAGCAGATGATGGAACCAGTAGCTGATGGAGCCAGTAGCTGGTGGTTCTAGCAGGTGTTGAAACCAGCAGCTGATGGAACCAGTAGCTGGTGGTTCCAGCGCAGTGTTGCAGGCAGTCGGCCAACTTTTCACTCGCCGACATGGAGCACACCTCCAAACAACAAAGCAGCCTGATTCGAGCTGCATATTGTCAGCTGCAAGTTTTTAGGCCATAGCAGGCGAGCACCACAGCGCAGAGGGCGTCATATGGCTGCACGCTAGTGTTTCGCACAAGCAGCTCGAACCAGCTGAAATACGGCCTGTTTCTAACTGGAAGTTAGTCCCTTCACAGTTGAACAATCGTCACATTCCATTTTCGTAATACTTAGTAATATGAGTTAGTAGTTACAGTGATACCAATGAGCAGATTAAGTTTGTTCCCCTCAATAGCATGTAGTTCTAAAGGGGCTACTTTTCAAAAGTCCAATAAATACACCCACAACACACAAGCGTTGATCTATTACATTTTATTAAAAATCTAGTATTTACACTTGAAAAAGGTAATCTGCCAGCTTCGACTTCCGCTCAAATTGTTCCGAATGAAAATCCGCAGGGGACCTTGACCCACACCACAGATGTCTGTATTGTCAAGGGCAGCCAAGTGATGCAGGCAATCTATAACAAAATAAAATATTTTGTTGTCAATGCAGATCGTAACAGCAGATATCAATCTTTAAAAATGCTACTTAACGTCCATTCGCGGGAAGCAGTGCGCACGACGACGTACATATTAAGCGAATAACTTTTACATCTATACAGCTCCATTAGTTCACTCGGCAAACTAGAATTAAGCGGTCGGGCTCTTCGATTTTCGACTTCTGGCTACCCGCAGGCTGCCAGGGCCAGCCAGAGCGCACTCGTTTTTCTATGGCTACTCCGTCCTCCCCCCCCCCCCCCCCGCACTTCCGGTTGGCGTGCGTTTTCTCGGGTTGGACGTTCTGGCGACCTGCGGGGAGCCCGATGGTCGCCAGACCCCCCCCCCCCCCCCCCCCCCCAGGACAATTTAGTTGGGTGTTGTGGAAGCTTTCTGGAAGATTTTGGGCAGGTTTCGGGCTAGCAGATGCCGAAAAGGTACGATGCGTGCTCGGTGCCATCTTTGTGAGGACTCGATGGATTGTAATGCGGCCGCTTGAGGACTGTGCCTTCGCTTCTCATTACGCGTGGCGTTATCTTCTAAAGCCTGTTCCGCCTTGCGAGACGGGGTGATTACGAGTGGCGGCGAGTGTTTGAAGCTACTGTTCATCGCATTTGTTATGTTTCCCGTGAAGCTTCATCCTGTGAACAACGCGGTGAACTGTTGCCTGCGTCGTGCACACGCCTTAAAAGTTACGTACGTAGTACACGTTCGTACGCACGCATAGAGACAACTTTGAAGTTAAATTTTTTCGTAGTAGTCGTTTGTGAAGCTGTGCCTGCTTTCTGTGCACATCGCGAAGACGATTGTGATCGAACTAGCTCGCTCCGTCGTATGTTTGCGTACGTGAACCTCTTAGAACCTCTGTCCTGACTACTCGATTGATCTTCGATGGTGATAGAAGGCCCTAGATGGCGACTGTTGGTGATGCTTGCTGGTTGCGAACGGCGTGCGAACCCATTTCCATCTATGATCCAGCATATGTGGTATGATATTGTACGATACGGCGCGAGAAAAAAAAAACTGAGAATGGATTCAGAAATGTGTACATCCTTTCGTGGCCCATTTCATCGTTGGCTTTGTCTTTTTTCTCCTCTTCGCACTAATGCCGCGCAGTACGTACTATGACCTAGTAGGTGGAATCAAAGCTGATATACATGACATTCGTTAAGTGCCACTTAGGACTGAAAAACAGGCCAAGACAAGTTCTAAAAATGGGTCGAGAACGCGTCATGAAAATGTTTATTTTATACACTACGCGCACTCGTGGTATTGATACCTGCACATATCATAAACTTTAGACAAAAACGTAAGTCGGTCAACGTGTGTTTGCGACGTATGATACGCGATAGCTGAGCAGGTATCTTCAAGCTCTTTTGGGGACACGATCACTTTCGTGTGACTTCGCGTCGTGTTGTGCAGTGACTGATTCATGTACTAAAGAGACGTGAGCTTGTCAAGCCGTCACCGTCACGGCAGCTCACCTTGCATCGTTCTCAAGGCAGCGTGCGCCAGCTGGCTGTTTCGTTCGCCGACGCGGCGAGTGATCGTACGAAGTCGTACCCCAAATGCGTACGCTCGAGGATATTATTTGAGCTTTTTGGCGAGCTTAGCTACGTATTTCCAAGCGGACAATGCAGAAAAAAAAACATACATGCGGCGCATCGTTTTGTTTGCTGCCATGACGGTAGAGTTTGTTTACGTTTACGCTGGCTGTCCTGCGTTCAATTTTGCGACCTTCGGGCTGCCGCCGGGCGTGCACGTAGCCAGCCTACGTCATTTCCTATCAGAACCGGATGCAGCTTTCGGGGAGCCCGCGGGTAGGCTCTCCAGAACCAACCCAGGAATGCAAAAGTCGAAAAGCCCCTGTGCCTTAATACTTCATTACACGGAGACAAAGGATCATGGCTTACTTGCAGCAACCGGCATGCATATGCGAGTTGGCCGCGTTTGCTGCCACCGGGTGGCACG